TGGGAAAGATCCATAAGGAAGGGAGATGGCTACCACATGAGTTGTCAGAAAGTGCCATTTCAAATCGTTTGACTATTGCGACTTCTTTGCTTGCCAAGCAAAGAAAAAAGAGTTTTTTTGTGGCGCATCGTGACTGGCGATGAAAAATGGATTTATTTTAATAATCTCAAGCGGAAAAAATTATGGGTGGACCCCGGCCAACCATCCGTTTCAATGCTGAAGAGGAATATTCACGGGCATAAGACCTTGCTGTGCGTTTGGTGGGACCAGGAAGGTGTGCTGTATTACGAACTCTTGGGTCGAAATGAAACCGTTACTGCTGATCGCTACAAACAACAATGATTGAGTGACGAATTGATGCAAAAAAGATCATCCGTAGCCAACAATCGACGCAAAGTCATTTTGTTGCATGATAACGCTCGACCGCATGTCGCGAAAAGCGTGAAGTAGGCACTTCTAGAGTTTGAATGGAAAGTTCTCCCGCATTCAGCGTACTCTCCAGACTTGACGCCTTCGGATTACCATTTCTTCCGATTGATGCAACACGCACTTACGGACACACACTTCTCCAATCACAACAAAGTCCAAAAATGGGTGGATGAATAGATCGCTTAGAAAGACACCGCATTCTACCGTCGTGGGATTGCCCTGTTGCCGGAGAGATGGGGAAAAGTAGTAGAAAATGGAGGAAATTACTTTGATTAAGGTATTCATTCATCTTCCCTTCGAAACAAATCGATTTTCGAGATGAAAAAATGATAGGAATTAAGTTTAACATCTAATACAATTTTATTAAAACGTTATAATAACTCTTTGGCGGTAGTTATACTAGTCAAAAATGCTGTAGTCTAAGCTGCGACAACGTTATCGCAGACATTTTGAAACTGCGTGATGGCTATGACAACTTTTCCACAGTAAAATAATTGCGCAGCCAAATAGCTACGACTTATACGTAACGTAACTTGCAGATTTTCAGCACTGGCAGTGAATTTTGGAACACAGCCTAAATAAGTTTGCACGCACTATGATTGAATTGTTTTCACATTATTATTTGCGAATTAAGTAATTTGGTTACATGTTTATTTTAAATTAAATGTTTATACGCTGTATTTGAATTGTTTTCATTTTAGGATTTGCGAAAAAAATAATTTAGTTAAGTGTGTTTATTGAATAAATTTATATGCTGATATAATTTGGATAATTTGCCTTGCGCTCATCTATATTTTATTTACTTTTTTATCTGTATTTTGCCTATATTTTTTTATCCTTTTCATCTACATTTTATTGTTATTACTATACCATAACTTTTTGCTGTAGTATTTCATGTCGCGAATTTTGGGACACCCTGTATATCACTTCTTTTTTTGCACGTATATTAAAGAAGATTCCATTTTGCTCTGGAATAAGCATATGATGCTTGACAAATCACTCGTTCCGGCTCAGTTTATCCTTACTTTTTGTAGCTCGTTTTCAATCTCCCGTGCCCTAAAGAACAGCGGTCCGCACATCGCGAGCTCCATTTTGCGCAGGTTCACGAAAACGTTGTTCTCGGTGAGGACTTTACCGCGCGGGCTCGACGTCGCCATCACCGTCATTGCGTTCGATGCCATGCCGCGACACAAAATAATCGGCTGGAATCGCATCGATGCAGTAGACTCTTGTGTGTTCACCATCCCTACTCCTCGTCTACTCCCGATCACAGTCCAATAGAATTATGTCCGTTTCCACCAATGTAGATTAACTTTAATCTCGGTTCAACATTCTCTTCGTCTTTTTCTAGTTCTAACCCAGACAGCACATGATATCATGCTAACATTCAATATTCATACTGAATATATTATGATACCCTTATAAAAATTTTTCAGCCCGTTTTTAGCCCGTTTTTAGCCCGCGCGAACGGTTAATTTGAGTAGTGAAAACGTGCATTTTACTCAGTGAGCATGACTCCGTTTTTAAGTCGCAAACAGGAACTTTTCCGTAAAAATTCTGAAAAATTGTGAAAAAATTCTCAAAACTTTATGAGAAGAAAATTAATGATTTTTGTCTCTCTTGCAGTTTTTCTGTAATTGTTGATAGTATTTGAGTAAAAAATTATTCGAAACCAAATATTTTGCAATTTTTAGTAATTAATATTTTGTTAACTATTGCGAAAATTGTAAAATGCTAGAGGACTTTTCGACTCATTAGTTCGCTCTATCTACATAAAAGTGATTAGCAAAAAAGGTCGGGACATCCTGTATAGGTTTAGTCAAAAATAGTAGGCTTTTTATTTATCATTATTTGAAATTTTCACTCAAAAATTGATTTATATTTACTGCAAATTATCCTTATTGTTAGTTTCAAGAATCCTTTAAACTTATGTAATACTGACAACCAATAATGCATGTAAAAGAATTCCAGATAAATAAAAAAATGTAAATGCCTAATATTTTTGGCCAAGACTGTATTTAAGATTGTGACTGTATTTAAGATTGTGACAAGCTTCGGGTGATAGTCCTGTTTTTTTCCTGGTTAATGAAATAATACAATGTGTCGAGTTATGAATACTGTCTACACATAATCGTGTGAAATATTCGTCACAAAGCACAAAGGGCTAGTTAAAGGGATAACGCGATACGTGACTCACCCTTAATTTTGAAAGCTTTTCACTCGTGGCACTGTCATTGCTCCAATGGGTTAACGATACTGTCGCGATCGCGTATTTTTCGTTTATTGCTGGTATCATATTCTTAGCCAGCGCATTATATAAGTGAACGTGGATGAGCAGGTAGACGGAGCATGTCATCTCCTTCGCTCGCTTTATATGCGCCTTGTCTGTGCGTTACGTACTAATAAGCAATGATAATTAACATGCACACTTTCTGTTGAATTGAATTCAATTGAAATTGAATATATTCAACCTATTTTCTTATTAATTATTATCTAATATTGACCGTTGTTGGTTTTAACAAACAATTAAATATGTACACATTATTTAGCAATAATTAATTTTTTTAATTACTTTTGCATATACAAATTTACAGTTTTAACAAGATTTCTACAAAATTTAATAACGTTGTATATTTGTTATTTGGCCGATATTCATAGTCGATTAGTTTTTATATTTCAGTCTTAAGATGCCATAAACTTGAAACAACCTGACTTCGCGCGGACGTAGCTCGTCGGTCACGGGCTGCGGCCAGGGTCGCAAAGAGGCTCGGCCAGGAGGAGAGAGACAAGGCGGTAATATCGCAATAAAGTACGACTCGGATACGTGTAAAAGAAATATATGTATTTGTGTCTTTAAGTACAATCTGTGTGTGTGTATATGTATGTGTATGTGTGTCGTGTACAAAGCGGTTTCGGTGTGAGTGTACGGCGTATGTGTGTCGGGCACGATTCGGCGTGCGAGTCGTGGTCGCGTGCGTCGCTCGGTGACGCGCGGTACGCGGGACGCGGGCTTACACCGGAACACGTGTGATATGCGAGACGCGTCGCGAACGCGAGGAACGATACGTCGTTCCGAAAGGTGCGCTTTTTGCGTGCACGCGTGATACGGCACGACTTCGACTGTCGGAAGCGTCCGACGGAGGCGGGCAACTGCCTACCCCCTGGTTCTTGTCGAAGCCGGTCACGTATCACGGATGTACGGATCTCTCTGCTCGGTCGCCTCGAGCAAGGCTCTCGGAGCGGTCGCGGCAACTGGTCGGGAACGGCCGACAGAGGCAGGGCGAGCCCTACCGCCGCGGTGCAGCGAGACGGTTCGAGGAGCCTGCTAGGAGCGGTGAGTCGGAGAGCGGAGCTGAGAGCAATAACTGACCGGTAAATTCCGGTAGAGGCAGGGAACACCCTTACCGCCGCGGTATTGCTTTGGATGTCGGATCTAGGAGTCGGTCGGTGTGCTAGGATCA